TAAACTAATTTTCCATTGAAATATTTTCTTGGATGTAATCAAAAGAACTTTTTGTGTTGAAACCTTTGGCAGAGAATGCTCTTCGACTCCTCATCATCAGTTTACAGCCCAGTGACACGTTGAATTTGAGTTGTTCAAACGACAAGGACACCGAGATCAATTTTTCTTGTGATAACAGCAACGAAGCTTGTTCCATCACTGTAATCTATGCTCAAAACTTGATTTTAAAATCAGTTTGTCATTAACAAAACCAAAAAAAAAAAATACAGGGAAAAAAAACCAAAAGAGAGAGAGAGAGAGAGAGGGAGGAAAACCTTGAGAGAGTTTGCATGAAATTAACCGTTCAAAAATAATACTCTCTATGTAAATCACTTCAATTTTTGTGACAGAAACATCACAAGCAAAAAGTTGCATGGATACATTCCCTTTTTTCAGCCAGTGACTTTAAAAACTTGAAAGTACTGTAAGTATCATCACTACCTCTCATTGCATGGAGTTGCATATAAACCATTGTATCATGTCCTTTGCTTGTTAAGCTAAACACCTACAGTGGTTACCATTGATGATATTGCCACAACAGTAATCTATCCAACAATCAGCTTTCTGGTGGCATTCCTTCTTCGCTGCAGAATTTACAGAGTCTCGAAATATTGTATGTTAAAGCAATGATTCGTGGTTCTGTGTAAATGATCGCATAGACTCTGCTTATTTCTAACGGTGCAATGGCTTTGTGTTAAAATCAGGGACCTTTCAAACAATGCACTGATCGGGTTCATACCTCCTAGCCTGGGAAATTTGCATAGCTTGATACATCTGTAAGTCTGGCGTCATTGCTTTAATGATATTAGTCCTTTTCTTTTCACTGAAAAAAAAAAAAAAGTTAAATAAATAAATAAACCAACATTTCTAATGGTACAATGTGTTTGTGCAAAAATCAGGAACCTTTCAAGCAACGTATTGTGCGGTCCTATACCTGCTAACCTGACAATTAGTATGAGCTTAAATTATTTAGGTATGAGCTGCTTCGTTGTCCTATCGGACTCGATCATTGGAGCTTAAGAACATGTTGAGAAGATTATTTTAAACATTTCCTTCTTTTGTGTTTTTAATATTAGATGATTAAAAAATATTAAGTAAATTATGCACATGAGATTTGTTTTAAACCATACACATTAAATTGAAACAATTAGTTATTATACAAAAATCACGTGTAATAATTATATTTTTTAAGCATGGTTGATATTTGAATCGACTAAAATAAAGTTTAAATTAAATTAAAAATTAATTTGTTTTTGTCACAGATTTTAGTCTCTTAATAATTACTATTTAAATATCTTCTAAATTTTAAATTAATAGTTAATTAAAAATTTTAAATAAAATATAAACTTAAATCAATTTATTTACTATATTTTAATCTTTTAATATTTAATAATATTTTGTAATTTTCAAAAAAATAAAAAAAATTTAAAAATATGTTCAACAAAAGAATAGAATGATATCCTAAATAATTTTATGAGGTTGTATAAAAAAACTTAAAAAAATAATGACAATTAATTTTTCAAGATTTTAGAAAAATGTTGGTTTAATAATAAATAAATATTTTTTATTAAATATAGGTCATATGATAGGCCCACGTATTTGGGCTAACTAGCCATGCAAGGCCCTTTCATTTATTCCTTTTTCACTACCACTCTTCTTGTTTGTATCTACTCTCCCTCTTCGTATCTCAAATAGATCATTTTGTTGTCTATATTATTTTATGTATTATATGGCATTGTGATTATTTTTTTATATTCTACGAAATTTTATATAATAAACACAATACGTTACAATATAAAGTGCATATAGTCATAAGTGAATATTCATACTTTCTTCTTTGTTTTTTCTCTCAATTTGGTATCAATGCAATTATCTAATTGCTTCATAAAAGCTCGATCAATCCACAATCTCAAACCCTAATATAACGACAATATTAGATGGTTAGATTCACATGATAGTAGCCTTTATGCTAGTTTTGAAGAACAATATCTTCCGTTGTCTCGCTCATACCATTCTTCTTGCTAATGTCTATAATTATATCTTGTTGAAATTAACTACAATAAATTACTTCTATTATAAACAACAAATGAAATCTTTTCTACAAGGATAAGTGCTACTTGGCTTCATCGATGGATATACACTATGTCCACCATCTCATCCACTAAGTGATGATGCCCTTTTTCTACAATCAAATTCAACTTTCTCTATCTAGGCTAAACAAGATCAATTGTTGCTTGAGTACTCTTATTTCATCCTTACTCCTAAATGAATTTTATTTAATTATTGAATGTACTTTCTCTCGTAGCATTTGGTTTACTTCGAACACACTTTAGCGTCTCCCTCAAATAATTAAATTATACAATTTCACATAAAAATGAGTTGATATCTGCTTATTAACAAATAGCAAACAAATTAGTTACAATAGCTAGACCTCTTTTTGTTTTAGATTTCAATTTCTATGTTTTTAAGGGATTATGTGAAGAATTCAAAGATCTTGTGACCATACTACGAGCTAGAGCTGAATGTATTTCCTTTACTAAATTCAATAGTCTTTTGTTAAGTCACGAGCTCCTTAACCAAAAAGATTTTTGCTCGTTTACTTTATCTTCTAGTTTTGATACTATAGCTCATATCTCGACCCATAAACCTCAAAATCAATTTTTTATTCAGCAGCCCCAACCCTCTTTCATGGTAACAAGGGTCGCAACCTTGGAGAAATAGAGGTGGCTCTTCTATGCGACAACCCACCATTTCACACCAAGCTTGTTTCTAGAATCAATCTAAATGGATTAATCCCGCACCTAGCCACAACATGCACTACCAACTAAGCACCGTATGGAATCACATTTCTTAATTATGTTCCCAATACTATTGACAATCTTTTCCATGGATAGTCAATTGGGTCTTGAACACCACTTCCATAGGTTCAGTTTCTCTTGCTTAATAGTTTCGAGATACTACCACCATTTATCAAGTCACTCTTGACTTCACGGGTATGCCTTAGTCCGGTGCTTATAGTGGTACTAATATGTTACAATTAGGATATGGTAAGGGACTTGGTATTTCTAATTCTTTTAATTGGACCCCTAAATTAATTTTATTCATTTTAACTATTATTTTGTTAATTCTCTTTTTTCTTCTTTTCTTCTCTCTTTTTTCATATAATTAAGAAAATTAGGTGGGATAAAAATTAGTTATTAACACTTCCACTAGCAAGATTTACGTTGCACAATATGGGCGTTTTTGTGCCAATTGTTACTCTCAATCTTAAGTCTCTCTTTGAGTGTTTTTATCATCTTAAACTTGATTTTTGTTTTCTCAACATTTTTTTTATCTATGCTTTTCATTTCTCTATCCTTTTAACAAATATAAAATAGATTGTTGTTCTACTCCATGTTTTTTTCTTGGTCATGATTATAATAAATCTAGAGTGTGTTTATTTTGATACTTTCCCTAAAAAGATTTACACTCGCACAATATGTGCGTTTTTACTAAAATGTTTTTCCTTTTGTAAATTTTGAAAGATATCTACCTTCCAAACTAGACATTCTAAGACCCGGTCTCCGTACTTTTATTGGACTATCCCAAACCTCGTCTTCCCCAAAAATCTCTAGCTTTACGTAACTTGTTCTTCCTTTATTTCCATCTTCCGGTTCTACTACCACGAGTGTTTCGTTGCTATTCAACCTCTTTCTTTTGCTATTTCTCTCGAGCGACCTACATAGTCCGGCTTCGACTCTTCTCTATTTGGCTTTAACTTGATGGTTGACCTTTTGGCATTTCAGCTACCCTCTCCTATTGCAACTATCCAGTAGCCTATCTAGAAGCCTTTTAGCATCATTGTCTAGTAGTCCTCACAAATAGTCGGCTCCTCCTCCTCATTGTAGACACAATATGGTTATCATCCTCGTCTTCATTCTAAACTAGTAGCTTATATCGGCATTATTTCTAACTCACATACTCGCTAACTCTCAACTCTCTACTCTTTTGGATCTTGAGTCAACCTCCTTCAAAGAGGCCAATCTTTATTCTAAATTGTATGATGCTATGGTTGCAGAAATAAATATCTTACATGATAATCATACGTGGACTCTTATTCCTCAACTTTCACATTAATGTTATCGGGTGTCGTTCGATTTATAGTATCAAAAAGAAGGATAATGATTATTTTAAGCATTATAAGACCAAATTTATGGAGAGTGGGTTTCATTAATAAGAAGGTTTGGATTCCTCTAATACTTTTGATTTTGTTATTAAGCCTATTACCATTTGTCTTCTTCTTTTTTTAGCATTTTTCATTTCGAAGCAATGGCTAGTACTTCAACTTGATATTCATAATGCCCTTTTGAATGGTATTCTTACTAAAGATGTGTTTATAAAGTAACCACTTGTCTTTGTTTATCCTATGTACTCCTCTCATGTGTGTAATTTATACAAACCTCTTTATTTTTTGAAACAAATACCACATGACTAGTACTCTCGAATCGATCGGTTTCTCCTATGCCTTGAATTTCTAAGCTCCAAAGCCGATATCTCACTCTCTATTTTACAAACAGTTGAGCTTTCCATCTTTATCTTAGTTTATATTGATGACATTTTTATCATAGATACTAGTTCCTTTCATATTACTAATCTTATTTTGAAATTTACTTATATTGGTACCCTTATTTATTTTCTTAGTGTGGAGGGGACATCTAATCAAGGCCTTCTCTTTTGCTAACAAAAATAAATTTAAGATATTTTTGCATGAGTGGCTATGTCTACCTAAAAACCTATGGCCACTCTAGCTTGAACTTTTACCAACTTGTGTCTCGACAATAACAAGTAATTTTCTAAGGCTTCTAAGTATCATTAGATTGTTGGCTCTTTATAATATTTGACATTTAATCTTGATATTAGCTTTATTGTTAACAAATCCTGTTAGTTTATGTATTTACCTTTTGAAAATCATTGAATGGTTGTTAAGCACATTCTTCGCTATCTCCAACACACTCCATATCTTCATCTTGCTGATTGGCTCTAATGCTATGATAAAGAACTACCTCAATCTAAAAATTTTTTACTGTTAAGTGAGGCTCTATGAATGGTTTTATTTTACTCTATAACATTTATGAATGGTTAGGCAATTTGCCTTAACGACATTCTCATCTCGTGAAAATATGGTAAACAACATACTCGTTGCTCACTTCTTCACTAAAGTAGAATATAAGGTTCTTGCTAATGGTGCTACCAAATTGCTTTGAATTCAATCCCTTCTTTGTGAATTGGCTATTGCACCTCCCTCTCCACCAACTCTTTAGTGTGGTAATATTGGTACCACTTATTAATCTTGTCTTCCATACTCATACTAAGCATGTTGACATTGACCTTCGCTTTATCTTGGATCAAGTAAGTCGTGGTCATCTTCACATTAAGCTTAGTTCCTCTTATGATCAAATTGCTGATGATCTTATTAAACCTCTAGCTACCGATCACTTCCTTTTGCTTACTTCCAAGTATTGTATGGGTTCTTTACCCTTCTCAACTTGAGAAGATGTATTAAGTTATAAGTATTTTTCTATGTTGTAGTCATAAGAATTTTTCCTATATTATATATTGTAATTTTTTATATTGTTGCGAATATTTCTTGTATTATAAGACATTTTGATTTTTCATATATTGTATAGAAATCCTATATTTAAATAAAATACAATACCACTCGCAAAGTGCATGTAATTGTAAAGATATCTTCTTCTTTTTTCTCTACTCGTGCCTCATTCAAAAGTTATATTTTTTGGTTGAAATGGTTTTTTTTACAAAAGAGAATATTACTTTGAAAATACCTAATAATCTCCTTCCTCTTTTAAAAATGTTTTGTTTTTTTGTAAACCAAAGATAACAACATAAAACCCAAGATAAAATAGAAACAACGGAGAGTGAAAAGGTAGAAGGTAGAATTCTATGGTAACATACAAAAAAAAATCATTAAAATTAACTCATTATATAATAATCTTGATCGCTGAAAATAGAGTTTACGAAGAGAATGTATTTATTTAATTGCCTTCAAAAATACCCTTGCTACTTCAAATTAAATTATGCTAACAAGTACAAGCTAAAAAGTTCTATTTGATCGTTTTATTACTACTATTTATTGAATTAAATAATTCAATTCATTGAAATTAATTGAAATTAAGTGATTTTCAGCTCGGGATATGGGGTGATTTCGCTCCAATGATGATCTTCATGACAACAATCTTTATAGTGATATCCCCGTGAACCCGATGGATTTACAATCGCTTCATTATTTGTAAGTCAATTCTATGTATTCTACCTATTATTTAATATCTCTAACTTGGTTATCTAAATATATATCTTCATTCGGATATATGTGTTAAAAATTAAGGATCTTTCAAGCAACAAATTCAATGAGCATATACGAACAAGCATAAGTGATTTTAAAGATTTAAGTTATATATAAGTCTTTCTCCTTACAACACATACAAGTGATTAATAATTCCGAGCCCCTATGTGACATAATTTGTACTCAAACAAACCAATTTTATCCGTAAAATCTCACTTGCAAAAAAAGTGAATTTTACGATGGCATGTAGGCCAAATTAGTAACTTGAGGGTGAAAAGTAATCTTGATATGGAAGGAGAGGGTGAAAAGTAGTTGGAGTGATTCTCGTTGCCAATCCTTTTCTACCTTAGACTAGACTCGACTAAGGATCAAATGGGTTGAAAAAACTTTTTGTTCATTACATGTCACTACAACAAAATAAATGGATAGAGGTAGCTTGGCCGTAAACCGCCTCAAATTATTTAGCATTTACACTTATATTGGAAAAATATAAACCGCCCCAAGTTTTAAGGAAAAGCATGAAATAAATAAATTTTATTTCATAATTTTTTTTTTTTGGGTTTTGAAAGGGATCGAAGAGCGCTTCATCTTCTCTCATCTCTTAGGGTTTTCCAGCCTTCTTCTTCATGTGTTTGGTCTCCTTAGTCCGCTTCTTCCTTCATCTTCTTTGCTTCTTCATTTTTAATTTTTTTCAATTCGAAAGGGACAAGCTTCATTATTGAGAGTTTTCCTTATTCACCTCTTTTTATTCTCCTCTCGCTTCTTTCGTCTTCTTCTCTCGCTTCTTCTTTATTTATAATTTTTTTCTCGGGTTTTGAAAGGGATAAGAACACTTCATTATCCCTCTCCTTTTAGGGGTTTTTCATCTCGTCTCGCTTCTTCATTCTTCTCCTCTCGCTTCGTGCTTCTTCACCTAGTCTCGCTTCTTCGTTCTTCCCTTCCACTTAGTCTTTTTCTCCTTCTTGTTTAGAAACTAAATTAAATCATTCAAACTAGAAAAAGCTTCATCAAAAGAGGTCACGCCCAACTTTGGATAATAAAATCGAAGTTGCAGATGTCCCATGTCCTCAATGCCATAATATTTTTAATTGTTTTTCCAATCATTTGTCTAGAAATCATTTCATTTTTTTGGAATATGTAGCTTGGCAATATTGAAACCCTTGGAAGGAAGATAGCCATTTTATTGTTTAAAGAAGAAAGTAAAAGCCATTTTCTAGTGTACAATTTATGGGTTTGATCTTTTATAATTTCTATAAACAAAACTCGCTAAAGTTTGGAACCTAATGTAATTAGATCTATTATAGATCACTCCTTATATAAGTGAAATTTGGGTCATGGTTATTTTCATATCATTCTCAACCTCTTTTCCGTTGTGTTTTGGATAAATTTATCCTTGGTTCCTTCCAAATGCATTTATTTAGCTGATTTGTTATGAGAATTAAGACTTAGAATCTCCATAGGGTTCTTGAACGTAGGAAGAAGCCTTAGGTAAAACAAAAGCTATGTTTCTTACGACGGGGCTTGTTGCATTCTACCGAATTGAAACAAACCGACAAGAAGATGGTAATGAGTGTTGATATTTATTTAATTTTTTATTATAACAATCGAGTACCGAGTTCGGTGGCTTTCATTGCAACCAAAACATAATTCATTTACAAGTGCTAAGCTCGTGGAGGGATGATGCCTTCTGAGCTAATATTGCAGCATCGCAAAGCATTATATGTGTCATGATTTGCGTCCGGTTCTTAATTATTCTTGGATGAAGACTTGTTTTTATGTTTTTCTTGTGTTATTTATATTTTTAATTCTGGCCCACTTTTCTCATTTTTTATGCTTCAATTTATTAATGATTTAAGTTTAAATTCGAGAAGAAATAATATATTGGATCGATACTATTTTTATCAACAATGAGCTTGATGAAAGCAACTATAATACCTCTTTAATTCATTTCCTCTTGCAGGTTTGGGATGAGATAGAGTATTTTGTGGTTCATATTGGCATGCTTAAGGGGTTTCTAGAAGTCACTCTCACTCTATTTGCAATCGTGATAATTTTAAACCAATATGTGCAATTTTGTGCTTGTCTTTTCTAGATTGCACTATTTCGATCATTTCTAAACAGCTTCTTTCTTGCAATAGGATTGCTATCACGTGGACAGACTCTCTTTGTATATTTCTTTAATAAGTGTCCTTTTATTTTTGTCTCGTTCCTTATTTCTATTTATCACATTTTGGTATGTGCTAAACCCATTCCGTATAATTTTACTTCAACTCTATGGTGTATTTCTAGCCCCTTAATTTTATGTCTATCTCAAAATTTCAGTTTCTCACACGTAATTCTAGTTTCTCACTCATATATCTCACCTTTTAACTTAATGTGCCAGTCTCTAATTGTTCATTAGTGCTCCTACCTTCTACTGCTACAGAGGATAATGTTGTTGACTTAATCTATTACACCAAATATGAAGCTTCTTGCATAAAATTTTCCCCCATTGTCCGTGTGTATCTTCTCTTTACTATTTGACATCCTTGCTTCTAGTCACAAATGTTCTTTCTTATAGATTTTTTTGAGCATGTATTTTTTATTTAATCCGATATGATTTGTGTATGGACTTCGGTTCCAAGATCCTTATTTACTCTTCTTTCATTGCCTAGCCTTAGTCGTTCCATCGGATCCATGATAATTCTCAAAATATTTTGTGATTTCTCCAAAACCATATAATTTTTTTTCTTCGGATGCATCAAGTTTGGGAACATAATAGGGTTTGTTCATTTTTTTTTAATATGTCATGATCTTGTGCTTTACGGATCTCAAAGTGTGTTATCTCTAGGATTCAATTTTTGGCACATAAAAAAAACCGACATGAACGGAATGTATGAACTTCTCTTTCCTATAATGTTAATCGAGTAGTAACTATACAAAAGTTGATAAGAGTGACTCACTTTTTTTTGTTTTATAGATCACGTAAAGGTGTATCGGACATATGGGAAAAACATTACAAGATTTTATCTCAAATTGGATTGGGAAGTTGAACAAAAGAGAGATTGGTGTGTTGGTTAATTCTTTTTCCTAAGTCGGTGGTTAAAAATTGATATTCTTAGGTCCCTAATTCGATTACCCTTTGAGTAAATTTTTATTTTGAGGGGATAACATATATAAATATCTTTTGGTGTAATGTTAATTTGAAATAAAATTTTTTATGTATTTTGGAATGTACTTGTCCTTCATGTTCCATGAAACCGTAACAATGGTGGGAAATAGGTAATGACTTGTTAGCTTTGTTTAAGAAAGAAACGGATTGTTTTTCTTTTTTTCAAGCTGAAATGTCACTATAATTTGAATTTTAGTTCCTTTTATTTCTCATTATTAGGCTCAAATAATACAACAATATTTCCTTTACATAGGCTCTCTTTTTTTCACTCGGATCTTATCCGGATGATAACATTTTTTAACTCTTCTTGCATATTGAACTAGGATGCCACTAAATCACGTTGAGATGACAACCGTTGGAAACCATGTCCGCAAATAAGAATTGACCTTTTATTTCCTCATATGGAGGATTTGATGTTAGAGAATAAATTATTTTGTGAAGTAATGTTCCTTGTTTTTTTCTTGGGGGTTGAAATAGACATTGATATTTTTCACTCGACTACCCTTTTTGGACATTACTCCGTCAAATTTCAATCTGTCTTGCATTTGATCTCGCTATGGTGTTCTTATCCATGACTATGGATAGGTTATGTTGACTCGAACTTCAAAAATGTTTGTTCTACCCGACTTTTAATTACTTTGTAGTAACAAAATCTTCACTTTCCTCCACTAGGTAGAATTAGTTAGTACAAAAATTCATGGTGATGAGATCATTTGATAGTTTTTGAATTGATATAATCTCGTTCGTGGATAGTCATTACTACTATTTATTCTGTTTCTTGTATTTACAGTGGATTAAAGATCATCTATTTTATAATAGTCAAGATATGTTATCTTCCGATCGAACACCCATCACCGGGTACAATATAATGGCTAAATGTTACGTCTATGGAATTCTTATATTGAACCAATGAAAGATGCAAGTAAATTAATTTTTATGTTTCCTTTTAATAACTAAAAATATAGAAAATCACAAAGCAAGGTGCCAAGAGGGAGAATTTAGAATACAATGATTATTCGGAAACGAGCCCAATACCCCGAATCGCCTTCCGGATAGGTGGAATTAGGTTATGTTGACCTAAACTTCAAAAATGCCTGTCAATATTAGCCATTTATTTTACAACATATTGGGAATTTTTTTTATGTATTTCGAACAAGTGTTTAATGTTTTAGTTTTGTTTTCCTCTTGTGGATGTTTGAAGACTTTTTATGTATTTAGAATTTGATAATTACAAATTTAAGAATATTGTGTAAGCAATATAATTTTTTTTTATTTGCATTCAACTTATTGTAACTTTTTTTTTAATTTATTTTTTTTTTACTAAAAAATGAAGTAATTAATTGAATTTGAAGGCCTCTATAAATTCAAAATGAAGTAATTTGTTTGTTTTTTAAATATATTGTTTGGGGCGGTCTAAACCACCTCTATATTTTTAAACTTTGGGGCGGTTATAACCGCCTCAAACATTTCAAAAAAGGTAGGATTGTAGAGGCGGTTTTGAAGTGCCTCAAATTACACCCAAAACAACATTAAAAGAGGCATTGTAGAGGCAGTTGTAACCACCTCTACGAATTCTTTGAGGCGGTTGCAACCATTGCAAGAAACCGCCTCAAAATTCCTCGACGATTGGCAAAACCGCCTTTACATCCTAGAGATGGCGGCATTGCAAGCGGTTTTGAGGTGGTCCTTAAAACCGCCTCTACAATACCGTAGAGGCGGTTATAACCGTCTCTACGAACAAAAAAACCGCCCGCAATACCTTTTTTTGGTGTAGTGTGTATATTAAAATTTCATGATTTCTAATTATTGCATCAAAAAAGTCAAAATGAATCATAATTGTTTGAATAGTTAGTGGAGACTTAATTTACAATTATCTGCATGGACCAAATAATTTATGTACTGACTAGTTTGGTTATATATACATATATATAACATCTCCATGTTAGCTTTTGCACACACATAAGACAATATCTATTTTGATATTCACCCTAAGAATATATAACAACTCCATGTTAGCTTTTGCACAAACATTCTTTTTCTCTATTAAGAATAAAGAAACTAAAGGTATTTTACTTTTTTACATCGTGGTGTTTGAATTCAAACTCCCTCAAGTTACTAATTTGGTCTACATGCAAAAAAAGAAATAAATATTGTTGAATCTTAAGATTAGTTTATATATGTGTGTTTGTAATACAGGTGCGTGGACTAGTTCACTACTAGTCATTACATGGATAATTCTACACCTCACAGCTCTCATCTTTCAAACATGATTGCTTCTTGGTTGCATTTACACATTATATCTTTCAATTTGCAGGGATCTCTCTAGTAATTCGTTTTGGGGTCCAATTCCTCGCGAACTAGGAAGACTGTCTGCACTCGTCTTTTTGTATGAAAAATTACACTCACCGCTGCTTTTAGTTTCTGTTTCAAGTGTATTATAAATTATCTATTTATTTGTATGTTTCCCTTTGGAAAAAGGAATCTGGATGACAACAATCTTGGGGGAATCCTTCCAAGTGAGCTTGGGAATTTGGTCAGCCTTACAGACCTGTAAGTTTCTTTATTATTTATTTATTTATTTTCATCTGCAATACTTCTATTTTATCTAGAAACATTAAGTTATGAAGATAAAAATCCAAGATTCTCCAAGAAGTCCTACATTCACCAATAAAAATATTTGTAATGATAAAATGCAAAATGGTTCAGAAAGGAAACTAATCTTTAAACTACAAAAAGCAACAGATGACTTGGGCATTCTGGAAGGAGCCCCTAATCAAACAAGCTGAATCCCATGCCCATGTCTTGATCCTCACTCTCCTTCTTAATCTCTTCCTAGTACTTGCTTTTTTATTTTCAATCATGGAGAAGTGGAATGGTTATTTATCTTTGCCAGTCCTTCTAAGGAGGCTCATGCAATTGTAAAACGGTGGAAAGATTCAATTGTCCTATCTTTGGCTTCCACCTAACACCCTTACGTTATTGCAGCTACTTGACATCAAACAATTTTAGTGGAAAGATTCCTAACACATATGCCAATCATTCCCATCTAAAAAACTTGTAAGTTTCTTCCTTCATATTTCTTTTTTCCTCTAGCAATTTAATATTGTCTTTAATTCTTTCTATGTATTATCACTAAAGCAAGCTTTTAGGTCAATGCAGTGTAGTTGGTGGAAACTATTTGTCTGGTCCGATACCTAATTATTTTGGAAAATGGGTCAACCTCACCAAATTGTAACTGTTCGTTGATATATATATATATATATATATATATATATATATATATTCTGAGAATTATAGTCAAGTTAAATTTTGTGGCCCGTAGAGGAGTTAATTAAATTTATCAAGTTAAACAATTTGATGTAGCTGACCAAGTCATTTTGTGTACTTATCAGGATTCTTGTAGGAAATAATTTTCATGGAAATCCGCCAGCAGAAACTTTTACTCTCCCAAAATTACAGATATTGTATGTTCAATCCTATGACACTGCATTTTATTTTATTTTCGTTTGGAGATAGAAATGAAACAAGTTGTTTTCTTATTAAAAAATTATAAAATGTTGTTCAATGATTCCAGGTTCGTCAGTGACGTAAGCAATCCTGGAATATCTTTCCCAAAACAGGAAGTAATATCAGAAAGTTTGATTTATGCGTGAGTGTACATCAAGCAATTCAAGTTGTTACTCTACAAATATGGATTCCCTTGCTTCTTCAATTGTTTCTACAGGGTTCTGAGGAATTGCAAAATTAATGGTGCTATACCCCAATACATTGGCATGTGGCCTCGGTTAAAAAAATCTGTACGTTTACCTTTTTCTGAATACCCAATAATCGTTCCACAACTAGGTGCTGTGACTTTCTATTTTTCTATTTAATGTTGGATCAGTCTGCAGGAAAATGGCTGAACTCTTTGGTATATTGTTGGGTTCCCTTGCTTCTTCAATATGAAATTCCATATGATATTATCTATGTTGAATAGTATTGAACCACGATTTGATGTGATTTGCTTTTTCTTGTAGTGACTTGAGCTTCAATGGACATTCCAGAATCATTTCAGAAACTGAATAAGTTGTATGCGTTTAAGCTGTTTCCTTAAAACATATTACTACTTTTTTAATACAATCAAAAAAAATAATAAATCCAATCTAATCGTGCAATAAAGAGTAAAAAAGTATCGTTCCCATGAAGAATTAAATTGCACTACTAAAATTATCTAACTTAAAATAAGTTGAATTAATCAAAATAATTAAAAGAATTAAATTAAAACTCTATTCTAGAGTTGCGGAATTGAAAATTACTAATAAGATGATATGAAAGTAGCTAGGGATAGATTCATTTAATTCTCACTTATGCAATTAATTATATTAACTCAACTCACAAACTACTTTAAGGTTGATCTTAATATATGTGACAACGGAATTTTCCGAATAAGTTAATAAACTATCTCTAGTCGGATTAACCATATTCTTCACCTAACAAATCATCCATATTTCTATGTGACTTAAATTAAAATCTAAATGCATTAAAATC